TGCCCGCGGGCGTCGAGCCCGGCCGGCACCTGGCCCAGCACAGCCCCGGCACGGCCCGGCTCGGTGTGCCCCACCAGGGGTCCCCCACTATGCAGGATGCCGGGGGGGCCGCGGCCGGCGTCGCTGAATGTAGGGGCGCGGGCCGGGGGGGCCGTGGAGCCCCCGTGACAATCACAGTCTGTGACGTGCGATTTTAAACCCTTTTGTGTTTTGGTCAGGATTTTAAAGAAAGATATTTTTATGGTAATTGTTGCTGGTCTATTTTACTATATATTTATGTAATAAATATATGATGAAAAAAAAAACCAACCAACCAAACCCCACCCCACCCCCCGACCCACTCCCCAGCGCGGCTGGATCCGGCCTCTGCGTCCCACCCCCGGCCGCCAGAACGGGGGTGTCGGGGTGAGGGGACCCCCCGGCGCTGCCAGCGGAGCCGTGGGGGCGGTGCCCGATTTGGGGTGGGGGGTCCCAGCATCCTGGCGCCCACCTTGGGGTGAATCCCTGCGAGTCCAACAGGCACCACGGGGTTGGTGCTGCCCCGGGAGGGAGGGGGGAAGTCTGTGTGTCCCCCCGCTGTGGTGTATGTACAGGGGTGCGCGGGGGGGTTCCGGGGGGGGGGGTCCGGGGGGCACTACTGGGCGTCGATGCGGAAGGAGAGCAGCTTCTCGGAGTGGAGGTTGTTGAGAGTGCGCAGGTCCGGCAGCTTCAGCAGCAGTTTGGTGAAGCGCGAGGTCTCAGCCGGGCGCGTCTTCAGCACGAGGGCGCGCAGGGCCCGCAGCAGCGTCTCCTGCAGCTGCTCCACTGATGCCGTGTCCTCCATGCCCGAGCGGTCTGTGGAGGACGGGGGGTCAGGGGCAGGGGAGGAGACACCCCAGTTCCACCCCCAAAACCCTGTGATCCCACCCCAGCATCACCCCAATCCCAGCACTGAACCCCCTGATACTCCTCTGATACCACCGCAGTGCCACCCCATCCCATCCCTGAATGCCCCAAACTCCCCACTAATCCCCTGATCCCAGCCCCAAACCTTTTCCAAACTCTTCCGACCTCAGCCCCAAACTCCTCAATTCCCCTCAAAACTTCTCAAACCCTCCCGTGCCCACCTGCCGAGACAAGGACGACGGCAGTGAAGAGCCCCAGCTCCTCATCACTGAGCTCAAGGGCGCTGAGCTTCTCGCTGAAGTCGAACATGGCCCCGAGGAGGTCGCCCATGCCCATGGCCCACAGCTCCTCCAGCCCGTACCGCGTGCGGCTCATGAACGTCACCGTCTGCTCCTTCACGTCAAACAGCGACGCGAAGCGAACCATCAGCACCTGTGGGAGGGGGGCAGGATATGGAATGGGGCACCAGGCAGAGCCACGGGAGCTGCACTTCATGCCAGGGACGCCTGTCTTCATGCCACGGGCTCCTGAGTGTGGGGCATTGCCGTGCCATGGGGCACCAGACAATGCCAGGGGCATTGTGCAATGCCATGGGGCTCTGTGATCCATCCTGTGACCACCAAACGTGGGGTACCATGCCAAGGGTACTGTGTGATGCCAAGGACACTGTGTTTCATGCCACAGCTCCCAAATGTGGGGCGTTACAATGCCATGGGACACGGGGCAGTGCCATGAGGTTTCGTGTCAATCCGTGGTTCCAAAATGTGCGGTACCACACCATGCGAGAGGTGCCCCACGCCACAGCTCCCAAAAGTGTGGCACTGCAGTGCCATGGGGCACTGTGCAATGCCAGGAGCGCTGTGCTGCATGCCACAACTCCTATTTGTGAAGCACTGCAGTGCTGCAGGGCTCCGTGCCAGTCCACAGGGCACTGTGCCATGACACTGTGCTCTGTGCCACAGATCCCAAATGTGGGGCACTGCAGTGCTGTGAGGCACCACGCAATGCCATGAGTGCTGTGGCTCCCAAATGTGGGGCACTGCAATGCCACGGGACTGCTGCTGTGTTCTGAGCCACTGTGCCCATGCTCTGGGGCTCCAGGCAATGCCATGGGGCATCCTGTCAGTCTGTGGGGCACCGTGTCGTCCATCGAGCCCTCGCCATTCCGGGACGTACCTCAAAGGTGCCAGCCTTGAGCAGGGTGACCTGGTCGTGCTGGGAGAGCGCCTGGAAGCCGGGAATGTGCTTGGCGAACTCGACGACCTCGCGGACAGCGGGGGTGAAGCTGAGGGAGAAATCCTCCCAGATTTCCTGCACGGAGCGCCCGCTGCGGCCGGGCACGTGGCTGTTCATGGGGCACGCCTGCGGGTGACCGGGGGTCAGCGGGCACCGGGGACTCCCCCAGGCTCTCTGGGGCTCTTGCTGCCACAGAAGGGAGGGGCACCGACAACGGGGGGATTAATGTGATTAACGGCTAAAAATAACCGGGGGGGAGCGGGAGCCCCCGGGCGCTCACCGGCAGGACGTCCTTGGGGCTGCGGGGCCAGGGGCACCCCCGCGGGGCCGGGGGCTCGGGGTAAGCGGCGGGGCACAGCCGGGGCTCGGGGGGGCCGGGAGCCCAGGCGGGGGGCGCGTCCCAGCGCAGGAGACCGCTGTCACAGGCGGGAGGGGGTCCCAGCTTGTCGTGCGCGTAGATGAAGATCTCCTTGTGGGCCTTGGCCACCTGCGCGATGACATCCTCGGTGGCCCCCCCGGGGCTGGGCGAGCGGGGCGGTGTCAGTTGCTGGGGGAACTGCGAGAAGCAGGCGGGGGGGGCGAGCGGTGGGGGGCCGGGGGGCGGCGCACGGCCACCGCCCGCGGCGGGACCCTCGCCGGGCCCCGGCATCGGCGGTGGGGCACTGGCCATGCCGCCCATGGCGCTCTGCATCTCCGCCAGCATCCGCTGCTTCTCCCGCTTGGGGATGCGCCCGAAGCGCACGGCTGAGGGGGGACAGCGGTGTTAGGGGGGCAGCAGTGGCAGCAGGCACGGTACCCACCCGCCCCGGCCCCCCCAGACCTGCACCATGAGGCGACAGGGGCTAATGGGAGCGGGGCTGCATCCCCTCCCCCAGGCTTGGAGGGGACACACAGCCCTGAGCACGGGAGGAATTCATCCCAGGAAGGGACATGCAGCCTTAAAAATGGGAAGACCCGGTCCTGGAAGGGACATAGAGCACTGAACAGAGGGATACCCATCCCGAGAGGGGATGTAGGGACCTGAGCACGGGGGAAACGCATTCAAGGAAGGGACAGATAGCCTCGATGTTGGGGGACCCTTTGTGGGAGGGGATACACAGCCCTGGCCATGGAGGACCCATCCCAGGAGGGGACATGCAGCTCTGGGCACAGGGCACCCAGTGTTGGAAGGGACACGCAGCCCCACATACGGGGGAGGTCCCAGGAAGGGGGGACACATCCCTGGGGACAGGCACAGCACCCAGCACAGGCAGCGGGACTCAGCTCCAGAGGTCCAGAGGGGATGTACAGCCCTGGATACATCCCGGGAATGGACCAGCTGCCTGGGCACGGGGAATCCCACCCTCAGAGGGAATCCCCAGCTCAGGACGTCACCGGGGTCCCTCCGAGCTCACCATCACGGGACATGCCGACCAGCAGGCACTTCTTGAAGCGGCACTGCTGGCAGCGGTTGCGGTTGATGCGGACGATAGAGCAGTTCTCGTTCTTGAGGCACTTCTTGTACTGGATGTTCTGCTGGATGCTGCGGCGGAAGAAGCCCTGCAGGGCGAGGGGGAGGAATCACTGGGGATCCCTTCAGTGTGACAGGGGCTCCGTGCCCCATCCCCGGCCCCATCTCTACCTTGCAGCCCTCGCAGGCGTGGACGCCGTAGTGGAAGCCGGAGGCGACGTCCCCGCAGACCTTGCAGAGCAGCACCATGCCGTTGAGCTCTGCGGGGGGGTGGGGGTCAGCGGGGTCCAGGGGTGCCTGCCGCGGGGTGGGGAGACCACCCGCCACCCCCCCGCGAGCCCCACTCACTCGTGACGGTGCTGCCGGCTTTGCTTGGCGAGCTGCGGCGCCGCTCGTCCGCGGGGACCGGCTGCACCCCGGGGAAATTCACCGAGGAGCCGTACGAGGAAGAGGAGGTGGAGGAGGAGGATGAGGAGGAGGAGGAAGGGGAACCGTCTTCATGGGGGGCCAGCGTGGCTCCACCATAGGCGCGGGAATCCTGGAGGGAGCCGGTGGGTGACGGTGGGAAGTAGGTGGGGAAGGGCTGCGAGCCCGACTGGGAGCTGCCGTTGGAGCTGTCGCTGCAGAGGGACACGGGGCTGGTGCGGGTGGGAGAGGCGCCGCTGGAGCCCACGTAGCTGATCACCCCACCTGCAGAGAGAAGGAGCCACTCATGCACCGAGCTGTGCCGGGCTCAGCCTCCCCCGACTCATGGACGTGGGAACCTCCGGAGGTGGGTGGGATGCCAAGGGAAGCACCCCGAATCCATCGGCAGTGAGGATTCATGGGCATCCCGCGCAGCCACACGTGCACTGAGCTGTGCCAGGCTCAGCCTCTCCCAGCTGAGGAGGGGGAAACTCCTTGGAGGGGGAAACCCCTTGGAGGGGGAAACCCCTTGGAGGGGGATTGCAGCCGCAGGTGGGGTGGGATCCATAGGGAAGCATCCGGGGTGCATCCCGGATCCATGGGCATCCCGGCGGGCTGCTTATGTACTCAGCTACAGTAGGCTCAGCCTCCCCCAGCCCGGGGGGGTGAGGGGGAGGGAAGCCCCCCAGAAGGGAATCACAGTCCCACGCGGGGTGGGGTCTCCAGGGAAGCAGCCCGGATGCATCCCGGATCCATGGATATCCCGCTGCGCCGCACGTGTGCCGCCCACCCTGAGTCAGGCACCGCACCCACCGGCCGCCACGGGCGACGGCCCCACGTGGGACGGGGACAGCCGGGTTTATCCGGGTGCGTGCCGGCTGGGGACACGGGCAGGGCACCCCGGAATTGCCTGCAGGAGGAATGTGGGCTGGGAACCCTCTGGAGAGGTGAAATCAGGAGGTCACAGAAGTTACGCTCCTGCAGTTCCTGGCTCCATGCCCGCAGCACAGCCGGGCTGCCGCCCCACAGCTCCCGGGAAGTCCCAAGGCGCAGCCCCCCATGATGCAGCCCCCTGCGGCACTGGGGTGCTTGCTCCCTGTACAGCCCCCCATGGCACCGGGATGCTCCCAGCGCAGCCCTCCCCAGCTCGGGGGGTTCGTCCCCACTGCAGGACTGAGCAGCTGTGTGAGGATCCCCGAAAGTGGGGAGCAGCATGGGGGGACGGACACACGCGTGGCCCCTGGCTGAAGTCACAGGCGTTGTCACCCCACTCACGGGGCAGGGACAGCAGCACCGGGACACGACTCCGGGCTGGGACACGTGGATGGTGATGTCGGGGACACACGGGATCACCAGGGCCATGTGTCTCCCGCCGCACACGGTGCTGCTGGCACAGATGCCACGCGCCAGAGCCAGCTTGTCACCATCCCCCCTCACTGGACCGCCTCCAAAGGGGGTCACTGAATTGGGGACAGTGGGTCCCACCTCCAGGGCAGCTGATTCTGGGGCCACCCCGCTGCTAAGACACCAAAATAATTGGGGGATCCCCACACCCCAAAGCCTCGGAACACCCATTTTAGGTTTTGGGGTGTGGGGATTCCCCCTAAGGGCTTTCCCCAGAGTATGAGAAACTTTTCTGACCCCAAAACAGAGGGAACCCCCCCAAGCAGCCTCCCCGCAGCCCCCCCCGAGCTCAGGCGGCCTCACGCCGCCGCCCCACGTGCTCCAGCCGCACGTGGCCCCCCCTAGACCCCGCCCCTACACGCGTTACCACGCCCCCCTCCCTCTCATTGGCCAAACTCCGCCCCGCCCCTTCTCGTTGCCCCGGAGACAGGGCTGCCCCCCCAATGAACGGCGGCGTCCCCAGATCCGTGCGTGACGTCATCGCTGATGTCATGTGCCGACCAATGGGAGGGGGTGGGGCGGGGCTGCGGGGAAAACAAACTCCGCACGTGGCAGCGGCGGGGAGGGGGACACGTGCGGGGGGGTGGACACGGGGGAGGGGGGGGCACCGCCTCCGGTCCCCCCTCCGTCCCTCCGGGTGCGCGGGGAGCCCCGACACGCGCGGCACCGCCTCGGCCATCCACGGGCTGCCTGGTCCCCGTGGCCCCGGTGCCGCTGATAGGGACACCCTGGTCCCGCCGCCGTCCCCTTCGGCCGCCCTGACCGGTCCCGCCGCTCGGGACACACCGATCCCTGTGCTCTGCCCTGCGGTCCCGGTTCCTGGGACACCCCGGTCCCGCTGCTCCGGACTCACTTCAGTCCCCTCCGGTTTCGCTGTCCAGGGGACAACAATCCCGGTTCTCACCCGTCCTACCCCTGCGTCCAGCACTCCCCGGCGTTCGGGAATCCTAGGTCCCGGTCTCTGGAACACCCGGGTCCCGCCGCGCTCCCCTCCGGTCCCGCTGCTCAGGACGCCCCGGAACACCGATCCCAGTTCTCAACCTTCCTACCCCCGCGTCCAGCACTCCCCGGCGTTCGGGACACCCCAGTCCGGTCTCCATCCCTTCTGCCCCGACCACCGGAGCACCCCCGTGCCGGTGTTCACGTCTCCCCAGTGTGCAAGACTCCCGGCACCGGCGCGCAGCCCTCCCTACCCTCCTCCCGGGGACACCCCGGCCCCGCTGTCCGAGCCTTACCCCGCTCCGCAGGACCCCCCGGTCCCGGTAGGACGGAGCCCCGTTCCGGGACGCGGTCCCGGTGCGCATCCAGCCCGGTCGGGCGTGCGGGACCCCTCGGTCCCGGTGTCCGGACCCCTCCAACTCGCGGTCTCAACACGCAGCCCCTCGCCGCGGTCCCGGGGCGCTGCCCCCCGATCCGCTCCGGTGCTGGGGACCGGTGCCGGTGCCCGCACGGTGGTCCCGGGGGTGGGGGGCTCCGGCGGGGCACTGACCTGTGCTGCCGGCCTCGGGGGCCGCCATCCTGTCCCGGCCCCGTGAGCCTCCCGGAGCGGAGCCGCGCCGAGCCGTGCCGCGCCGCCGCCCGGTGCGGGCTGTTGTGCGCCCGCCGCCCGCCCCGCCGCCCCCCGCACCGGCCGCGGCTGCGCACTGGGCCGCACGCGGCGCCGCCGCCTCCCCCATGTGATTCCCGGGGACAGCCTCGTGCCCCAGTGACACACTTTCCGCCGGCGGCCCCGGCCCCGCGCCGCCGCCAGGGAGCCCGGGCTCGGCGGGGACCCCCGCACCGGGGCCGCCCGACGGACCGCGGGGACCGGTGCCCGCGCTGGTCCCCGCACCGGGGACACGGGGTGCCCCGTCACGCAGCACAGCATTGTCAATGCTCGGGGAACTCCCGGGCGCTGCACTGTCCCCTGCGCTGCGGACGCTTGGGTGCAGCACTTGACACATCTGTCACCTGGCAGACACTATCCCCCGCACTGGGGACCCCCAGTCACGGCACTGGCAGCTCTGTCACCTTGCACAGCACTGTCACCTGCACTGGGAACACCTGACCGTGGCACTGGCTGTCCCCTGCAGCGGGGATATCCAGTCATAGCGCTGTCACTCTGCGTGGCACCTTCCCCCGGGGACACCTGGGCACCGATGTCACCCCGCACAGCACTGGGGACACCCAGGTACCCCTGTGACCCCTCAAAGCACTGTCCACCGTCCTAGGGACATCCAGGTACCCCTGCAACCCCGCGTGGCACTGTCCCCTGCACTGGGGATACCCAGCTACCCCTGTCACCCCACATGGCACCGTCTCCTGTGCCCACCTGTTCGGCAGAAGCACCGTAGCCCCCCCCCCCCCCCCCATACATTGTACAGCCCCCGGTACAGCCGCTGCCCGCTGCCCCCTCCCGATGTTCCCCTGCCCAGCCCCTGCTGTCCCCATGCTGCCCACGGCGGGTGCCCGCTGTGGCACGTGCCTGGCATCCACGTCCCAGCCTGGCCCCACTCCCGGCTGCCGCGGGGGCTGCGGCATCGCGGTGCCAGGGCAGAGTTGGTGGCAGATCTGGGTCGCGGCGCCGGCCGGGGCCAGCCCAGCCCGGTGGCACCGGGGGCTCCGTGGGTGCTCCTGCTCCCGCCGTGGGGAGGGTTTTGGGGGTGCCAGCACCCTCCCGGGTGCCGTGTGCCGGGCGCTGCCCTGGCTCCCAGCCAGGAGGAGAAGGAGCAGAGCACGGATGTGCCAGTGCCGGGAAATCCTCCGTGCTAATCCCACAGGAGGGGCGGCCTTCGGTGCCCCGGCTGTGCGAAGTGCCCGAGAAGGGACACCAGAGCTCTGCACCCCAAAGACCCCCTGGCACCCCGTGGGTGACGAGACCACCCCTCAGCTGGGGATGTCCGGGGGGTGCTGTGGGTGGTTCCGGATTTTGGGGCTCCCTAAGGCACTGGGACCGTGGGAACACCCCGACACCCCACAGGACGTGCCCTTGCCCTGAGTCACGGGGCGGTTGCACGGTGCCGCGGCAGCTCCGGCCGGGAGAACCGCGGCAGCTCCCGGAAGGATGTGTGGGGCCAGGCTGACACGGGAATAGGGGCACCCGGGGGAGACACCGGTCCTGGGATGAAGGGACCCGCCTGCCCGCGGGGCCCTGCCTGGACCGTGCAGGTGCCCCCGGCCGTACGCAGCTCCTCGTTCCCCTCCCGGCACGTTCCCGGTGATTATCCGTGACTCAGCCTTAAGTCTGGATTGGGAAAACATCCCCGCGCACGGCGCTGCGGCACACGGCGCCTGAGATGCTCGCCTGAAACCCTGGTGCCCCAGGAATCCCCGGGACAGGAGGGAGGCTGGGAGGGACGGGGCAAACCTCCGGAGGTCTGTCTGTGGGGCCCCGTGAGGCTGGGAACCCGGCACGGGGGGTCCTGGTGAAGGTGCTGTGAGCAGGGACCCCAGGCTGAGCACAGCTGGGATATTTCCGGGATATCCCGACTCTGGGACCACCCATGGGGAGCAGGGTGAGGGAGAGGGGCCACCAAAGCCACCGGGAGGGGGGGGATACTGCAGCTGACGTGCACCGGGAACGCCCCCAGAGGCCGGGTCTATAGCTCGGGGGGCTTCCCGCGGCTCCCTGTGCACCCCATCATGGCAGTGCCCGTGCCAACCGGTCCGTGGCGCGCAGGTCGTCACATGCCACCAGATTCACCCCTAAACCCTGCACCTCCACCGATCTGTGCACCCCTGCGACCCCAAACCCTGCACCCCCAAACTCTGCATCCCTGCACTCTCCTGGAGCCCCTGCAAGGCCAGATCTTGTCCCACTTTATCCCGCACCCCCGGATCCTGCATCTCCCGGGGTCCCTACTCCTCAATCCAGGTCTGCCCCATCCCGTTGTGCCAGGACTCCATGGGGTACCCCCACCCGCCGTGGGGTGCCCGGAGTGGCGGGGGGACACACACGTCACCCCGTCCGTGCCATCGGCTGTATCCCCCCAATTGCACACCCGCACTCCCCCACTTCAACAGCCCCACGGGGGATGCAGCCCGCACTTCCCTCCCTTGCCACTGCTCCCGGGGGCAGGAGGCAGCGGAGGGGCGGTGGGGCCGGTGTCGGAGCGCGGGGTGAGCCCGGTGCCTGGTGTGGGGTGAGTCCGGTGCCGGGTACCCGGTGCGGGCTGCCCGGTGTCGGTGCCGGTGCCGTGGCCGTGCCGCGTGACGCTCGCCCCGCTTCCCGCCCGGCGCCTGCGTGCCGAGAGTTTATTTTTACTCGGGGCTGGAGTCTTGTTTACCTTGTTGAACCTTTTCCAGGAAGAGGGGGGGGGGGGGGGGGCCCCCCCGGGA